TCCAAGTAACAAGAAGAGTTATATAGTTTAATAGTTTTTCTATTGATTAATTATTCACTACATCTTGAACTATCTCTTTATACTTGAATCTTAAATCAACATATAATTCTTTACCACACACCAAGACCTTCACTAGCTAGATAGTCCTAAATAATACAACTTGCATGAGGACATGACCTTGGGAATGGGTCAAAGTTGTTTGTGCAGAACCACACAATATTTATTGTGAAAATCAAACCAGCCATGATCAGCTCATTTACTTGCGGGTGTGAAACTTGAGTGCAGCTTTAAAACAAGCTATTAAATGAGGAAGTATCCAAACCAGTACAGAAGATGATGCTAACCCAATTCAGAGGTGTTAGTTACACAGAAGAAGGCACCAACATCACATAAAGAAGAAAAGGAAGAATACTTATGAAGACAATGAAGATCTTCAAGATTTTTAGAATCTAAGTCTATAGGTACTTATATCCTTACTCTCTATAATATACGTTTAGTAATAATGCTTACAAGTATTTAAGTAAAACTCTAAAATAAAATTGAAAATCACAAGTATAAATAAAAACAATTTTCAAAATATTGCGTAACAAGCTATTGGATCTAAGTAATAGATTACTGGATCTAAGTAACACGTTACTGTGACTAAGTAACAGGTTACTAGAACTATGTAATAAGTTACATGAGTGAGAAACGAGTTACCTAATAAAAACTAAACAGGGTAATTAATTACTGGATATCAGAGTAACCGATTACTCAGTGTGGTAATTGATTACTCAGTTGATTAGAATGTTTAAGTAATCGATTACCTCAATATTGTAATCGAATGCAAGAGATCATATATTTCATATCTTGTATAGACAATCCTTATCATTGTTAAAGTTTTTATTCAACTATTTTGTGTAATACTTTCTATCACAAGGGTGTGATTAAAAAGGGGATAGAGTCACTTGGAAATGTTGTTTTCCAAGATAGTGATATAGGTATTGGAGAGTGAGTAAGGTACAAAGAAGTCTCAGGGTGTGAATTTTGTAATTACTACTTCTATATCTAGTGAAGAAATCTCTTATGCTGCAGGAGTACTGGATGTAATATTCGGTAGACAAGAAGGTTAACCAGTATAAAATTTCTGAGTACTCTCTTCTCTGTTATCTCCTTGAATTTATTCGATATTTTTCTGCATAAATTTTCCGTTGCTACTAACTCTTTAAATTGCAAAAAAATCTATCATATTTTTAAGTTAACTAATTCACTCCCTCTTAGTTGTCATCTTAGTCTTACAATAATGGCTTCGTCTTAGGTGAGTAAAAGTTACTCACGACCCTTATTTTTATTAATTTCATGTCGGTGTGTAATAATAAACTTGTTGGTGGTAAATATATTTTTTGATGAAAATAAATAATAGTTTCTATTAGTCAGATAGTATTTGATATAACGATATTCAGCAATTTCATTAGAGGAATGCATCAATGTAATAAATATTATAATATAATATTTACTGCTGCAGGAACAACAATAAAAGTGAGACCTAAATGTCATTGTTTATTTTATTTAATAATATATCCAGATTGTGATTGACTTGGATTGAATTTCAAACCTTCCTGTTTTAAATCAAATAATATTGGGAAAATTTATTACTATTGAAATTTAATTGTTGAAACGTTGAAATAAATAAGTCATAATTATAACATTGTACCTTAAGGTTTATATTTACATCTGCTTATGTTGTATGTGATACAATATACTTGAAGTTAAATTTCTTGAACTTATTAATATAATGAGTTAAAAAGTTGAACTTATTTACTATTCAAGGTTAATGTTTAATTCAAGTTTCAAAATGATATTAAGTTATTTCGGATTATTGGAATTCTATTGAAAATGAAGTTTTTTTTATAACAATTAGTAATAAATTTAATTTCATCATTAAAATTGATTTTCCACGATCAATTTTGATAAACTTTGATGTGTATTCAAGGTCAATGTTTAATTCAAGTTTCAAAGTGGTATTGACATTTTAGATTATTGGAGCTTTATGAGTAATAAATTTAATTTCATCATTAAAATTGTTTTTCAGCAATCAATTTTGATAAACATTGACGTACAAATTTTACGAAGTTAAATATTTTTAAATTAGAGGCTCACATTTTTTTCCAGCACTGGGCCCACAAAATGTGAACTTATTTACTGTTTATGTTAATTCTCAAAATGGTTTTGAGTTATTTAGGATCACTGGAGATCTATTGAAAAGGAAGTTTTTTTTTTGGTGAAATATTTTTACTAAGGAAAGAGGTTAGAAAAGTGAGTGGCGATAATCTAAAATCCTCACCTAGACTTACAAAAGGAAGTTCTTTTAAAAAGAATTTGAGTTTTTAGATTCTAATTAATATATTTTGGGGTACTTTAGCACTTTTGCTTAAAATGAAGAATATGAAGTATCACCTCATAGAAACTAATAAAATAGTTGATTTTGAAATTTGAATATCATAAAAGATATTTTTTTTATATGTAAATGTTAGTATGTTAGTATATGTTGTGGGTGAGACTCAAACTTATGAATGAGACTCGAATTGACAGCCTCTTGCACTTCATTTCTTAAACCATTCACAATCACCATTAGACCACCTTATTACTCCCTCTTAAAATAAAATCTAATTAGATATAATAACCTTCATTATTATTTTTTTTGTAGATTATGCAATGCAAACATTTCAAAATAAAAATTTAAAATCTTATCTAATAGATATTAAAGGGGCCAAAATTATTTACAATCCAAAACTCATCTAAATATAAGAAAATTAAATTCATGTATTAGAGCTAATGAATATAATATAACGAATAATTATAGTAATGAACGGATTTGAATAGGGATGACAAAAGTATCTGATAAGTGGTTATCGATTAAAATAACCGCAACAGGTACCCACAAAAATAACTTACAGGTATATAATACCCGCATATATATTTTAATTCAATATTTTATATTTTTTTATTATTCTAACATTATATAATCATATACATATATATATATTATTAATCTAATATATATATATATATTATATATAATATATATATATATATATAAATTATAAGATATATAAAAATATAATATATATATATATATATAATTATAAGATATATATAATATATTATACATATATATAATATAGTCACTAAAAATATAAATTTTAGTGGTTGGATTGATTTGAATGGATCTATTAAATTTGAATATGAATGAATTGAATAATTGAAAGTTGATTGAAATAGATTTACATTTCATTGATGGATGATTTTCCATCTATCATGATCTAAATCCAAATTCATCAATTTGTATTGCCACCTATAATAGATACTATAAAAATAACATGAGATCAAACACTTCATTCATCATTTTAGAAAGAAAACTTAAATTTTAAGGTGAAATCCCATGGCTTCCCGCACCTATCAGCCTTTTCTCATTGGAATTATATGCATTGCTTTGATCCTAACTTCTGGTAATGAAATAAAGCTTTAGCTTCGCCTTTATTTTAAATTAAAACTTGTTACCATTTCAATAGATGTCATCAATGTCATAATAGCTTTGTTTCTTCTTTTCATTGAATTTGGGTCCTTAGCACCAAAGCCTTATTTTAAAAAATCATAGTTAGTGAAAACCCATATTTTTATGAATTTCATGTGGTTTGTTTTTATAAACTGGTAAGGATATGCAACAATTTCATTAGAGGAATGCATGGATGTAATAATAAATATTTTAATATAATATTTACTGCTGCAGGATCAACAATAGTGAAAGCAAGGGAGAATTTCGGCACTCTAGCTGAATGTTCTGATGACACTGTATGCAACGAATTATGTGCTGTCGCAAAATTTCCAAAAGGAGGAGTATGTTTTGAAGGTAGTTGTCTATGTAAGAAATAAGCTGATTGTCTATGTAAGAAATAAGCTGATTGTTGCTATAACATGACATAGTAATAATCAGTTTAATTTGTTTTATTTAATAATATCCAGGTTGTAATATATGGACTAGGATTGAATTTTAATCTTCCAGTTTTATATCAAATAATATTTGACAATTTTATTACTAATGAAATTTAATTGTTGAAACATAGAGATAAATTTCTCATAATTATAACAATGTACCTTAACGTGTATGTTTACATCAGCTAATGTTGTATGTGGTACAATATAATGTAGTCAAAAAGTTAACTATCACTTTATATTCTCTGTTCTTAAAATATTAAATAAAAATAACATTGATTCAAGTTCCATCAATTAAACCGATAACCAGATAATATTATCTATTTATCTGTAACATTGACTCAGGTTTAATCAATTTAATCAATGTACCTTAAGGTGTATGTTTACATTTAAAAAAATATGTCTTCATATGTTAACTTGAATAAATTATTTTCACTTTTTTAATCATCCATAGCATATTATATCTGCTATAATATTATATCTACTAATAAAACAACATATATATATATATATATATATGACAATTTTGATATAAGTTTATGTCTAGCAATAAGAATTATGCATCGATTTCTCTAAACATTTTATTTACAATTCATGCAATAAGATGATCAAACCTAAAACAAACATGAACAACATTATTAGAGACACACGTAAATGGAACTTGCACCCTCATTTCTTGAATTTCCACTTTGCGTGGTGTTTCACTCCCACTAACTTCACCATTCTCAATGAACCGAACATTCCCAGTTTCAACAATTCTTGTAGTATGGTTTGAACAATAAAATCTATACCTGTGAGCACTCAATTTTGTCCGGCCCATAAAATGTTCCAAAAATAATAATAAAATCTGTAAATTCAATTTACAATTAATTAAATATGAAGGCAATGTTATAAACAAATAGTATGAGACATTAAAAAGGGGAAAATACATTTGGTCGAAAAAGGAAACTAAGCCCCACCCCTAATTTTCTTCAGGCGCCTTAAATGAGAAGATCTCTCATGTTAAATATCCATCATATCTTGTAGTCTAAGGCAAATCAACACTCAATCCCTGAAAATAAAAAGAAATCAAATCATGAGAAGGAATCAAAAGAGAAAAGAAATCAAATCCCAGGATTCCAGAAAAATAACACTAAGTAAAGGTAGTAAATCATCACTAATCAATCAAGATAATCCCAAAAGATATGACACCAAATATATGTAGATTAAGGACCAAACTTAATTAGGCAACAATAATTACTATCATTAAAGTAATAATCGGAAATTATGAGCAGAGCATCAAAAAGTGATCTCAATAAGGCAACTACATATTCAATGAGACAACTAATGCAATAGAACATTAAAACCAAGATTGACAATCAACATAAAAAATAGAATATTCTGAAACGCAATAAATTGGGGATTCAAATCAGAAATTATGGAGATTCCTCTCATGAACCCCAACCCTTATAAAAAGGCAGCCAGACATACACCTAAAAAGAAAAAAACACAGATACACAGACACACATTGGCAACATTCCATCACTGGGTACACATCTAATTAGAAAGATATTCAGAAAAGAGGGCATAGCAGAGACAGCGAACCAACATTCAAAAAGGCAAAGGACATCACTCGTACACCAGGTAAGTCATTTCTTTAAGCGATAAGGCATGTCATTAGACGTGGTTGTTAAGCAGGATTCTAAATCTAAGTGCTCGAATCTGAGATAATCACACTTAATCACATATAACTACATGTATTTTCACTGAATTAATTGCGTAAGGACACTAGGGCCTCATTATCATCTCAAAGCAATTCTAAAACAACATTATTCCTGGAAAAACATTCTTCATAACTTGTTTTAACATTATAATACCAATTAATTCACATTGTAAAGGATGAATGAGTTTTAATAGAAAACAGTTATAGGTTCTCACCAAATCCCTTTTGTTATCGTCGATACCGCTGCTTTATCCCGACTTTTATAACCAAGGCAATCCGCTAAACCATAGCATCCTCTGTTGGTGTATGCATCCACTCTCGCCGAAAGAGAAGAAAGGGTACCAGAGTGGGGATTTCATCATTTTCTCGGTTCAGAATCACTCTTCATGACACAAAACCATCGTTAGGGAAGGAGAATGACGAAGACGCAAAATAAGGCATCATCACAGACCCTAATCGGAGCAGTTCCGGCGTTGTTTCCGCTGCGAAACGAAGGAGAAGCCGTTCGTTCCTCTCCATCTTCTCACCTTCGCACTTTCCTTTCCTGCTTCTCCTTTCTCTTGTCTTCTCACCCCCAATTTCACTCAGCCCCCAAATGCCAAAGAAAAAACCTAACCCCTCTCCCTCCCAGCCTAATTCTTTTCCATATGGGCTACAACCCGTGTATGGGTTTTTTTTTTTATTTTTATGTTTGTTTATTTATCATCATAGTAACACGTTGAGTTAATACACAATTGATAAATGCCATATTCATTCCTTTGTTTAATTATACTGATAATTATCTATGATTTAAAACCCTTTTATTTTGTTTTTATTATAAATTATAGCTTCGAAAAATCATATCTATTGTATCAATAGAAACTTTAACAAAAAATGCATCCTTTGAAAATTTATAAAACGATTTTTTATATGGAGTTTTTATAGCAAGGTTATGGTTCGAGTCGACTCTGACTTCTCTGAAAATGGGAAGAAGGTGAGCGACCAATACCGTCTCTAAACTATTAACTCCATATATAACATATGTTTCAAATAAAATTATCTTATTACTCAAATGATTTTAATCTATGATTTAAATTAATGATTTTAACCCCCCTGTATTTTTGCGATGAATTAGAATTTTGAAAACTATATTTATTATACTAATAGAAATCCTAATGTGTTCTTAAAAATAATAATAATTTTAAATGAATTTTTTAAATGGAATTTTTATAGTAAGGTTACGGTTCGAGTTGACTCTGACTTCTCTGAAAATGGGAAGAAGGTGAGCGACCAATACCGATCTAAACTATTAATTCCATGCTAAAAGTGTTTTAGATAAAAATTATCTTATTACTTAAACGAATTTTTAAATGGAATTTTTATAGTAAGGTTACGGCTCGAGTTGACTCTGACTTCTCTGAAAATGGGAAGAAGGTGAGCGACCAATACCGATCTAAACTATTAATTCCATGCTAAAAGTGTTTTAGATAAAAATTATCTTATTAACTAAACAAATTTTAGTGGAATTTTTATAGTAAGGTTACGGTTCGAATTGACTCTGACTTCTCTGAAAATGGGAAGAAGGTGAGCAACCAATACCGATCTAAACTATCAATTCCATGCTAAACTGTTAATTCCATGCTAAACTATTAATTCCATGCTAAACTATTAATTCATTATCAAAAGTACTTTAGGAAAATCATATTTTACTTCAGCATGTTTTTAAAACTACCCAAACCAATTCAATTACTTTTCAAACCAGAACTACGTAGCCTTGATTTCCCTATTGCATCTAGGGATACGTAGGAGCAAGATGAACTCTTGTCAGGCACAACAATAAAAAATAAAACATTTCGCTTTAATTATTAAAGTTTAATAAATAATTTTTAAGGGTATAAAAGTCCATGTTATTAGCGAGAGTACCGTTTTAATACGGGCGGACGGGGTGCTAATACCTTCCCCAATCCGTAATCGACTCCCGAGCTCAGAATCTCTGTTCAAAGACCAAGTTCTCCAAATTGGGCATATAGAGAGTTTTCTACGTTTTATCCGCAAAAAACGTAGTGGCGACTCCAAAACAAACGGAAGAGGTAGGAATCGAGTCCGCCTCTCCCTAAGTCGCAGGGCCGGTCTTCCAACTGAAAATCGGGTCGCGACAGCTGGCGACTCTGCTGGGGACATTTTTTCCCATAAGAGAGTCAGGCCCAAAACCGCTAACTACATGGACTTAATACCCTTGTTGTTTTTTTCGTTTGTTTGTTTCTATCTTTTCTGTCCCTATTGTTTAGGTTAAGAAATTATCATATGTATATTTCTTTAACTCATTATTCATGTATCTGTGTTGATTGTTGTTTTGCAGTTTTTGGGTAAGGGTTATTTGTTTATGAAAAGGTTTGTACGCTTCCTCACACACTAACACCATACACTGTATTTTTGCACACACATATGCCCTATACCCGGGTATTAGTGATAATTAGGATTTAAGGAAGGAGGGACATCTGCTTTATCGGTAAGTGGCCTCGAGCCACATCTGGTATTAGCGGAATGGACCACCCAGATCGTTCCCGGTATCATTAGCTAGCGGCTTGAGGGACTCGATCCTTCTCGTTTCTAGCCCATGATATTTGGTTTCCTTTTCTTTCGAGATTGGATGCGATCTGGTGACCTAGAAGTCTAGAGCTTTATCGAGTCCACTTTAAACAAGCCTAGTACATCGCCATAAGTTTATGAACTATAGACATCCCAAAATCTCACATAGGGTATACCTAACATAAGACACTGGAAGCAAACCATCTTTACCTTTTTATTCCTGTCATAATATGGGACTCATCATCCTAAGTGGAAGACGAGTCTATCATCGAAGCCAAGAAAAGTATAAGGACACCCTTGCACATTGGGGCCCCCTAACTGCAAAATAGCTACCACTCATTACCGTCCCGCTATTGGGTCTAATAACCTAGGGACGATTTTCATACATGCCCGTCGATGGGCTCAAAGCCTTAGGGACATCATTCATATCATGATTATAACATCCCCGTTAATGGGCTTAACACCCTAGGGTGATTTCACATCGCATTTGACTTAATCGTCATATTAAACTAAGTATAAACTGCATTTTTATATCATAACGCATAAGTTTTCATGTTGTCCCATAATGGGTCACTACCCTAAGGGGCATGCATTATCCATGACATGCATTCATGCACCTATATTTCATTTCATTGATTGAAACACTTCTTCCAATTCTTTTCAGGTTCCTTCGTCAAAGAGAAATATTTGGTATAGTAAGACATGGAGATTGATTCCCAAGTTGTGGGTTCTGTCAACGTTCCGAAGAAAGGGGCAAGAGTGGAATTACAAGTGGTTGATGTGAGTTTTCTGGCCGAGTTAGTCCCCAAGATCCCTAAAGAGGTTAGTAAGGAATTGGCAAAAGAATATGGAAGATTGTCTGATCTCCTCGTCATCACAATTGGTGCGGAGGCCTTGAAAGCTATAAAGAGTATGATTCAGTTCTGGAACACCACCCTACATGTCTTTGAGTTCCCGAACGTAGATGCATCCCCGACGATAGAAGAATATGAAGTCCTTCTCGATATTGGTTTGTCAAGCAGACTTAAGTTATATCAGTACACTGAGAATCAGAGCGTCACAGAGGATTCGATCGAGAAGTTAATTGGGGTTCGCCCTGGGCCAAACCACATAGTCAAGCAAGGAGCAGTTTATGGGTTAAAAACCATATTTCTAAAGAAACACCTGACCAAGATGATGGAGGAGGAAAATTGGGAGCTATTTAAACCAGCATTTGCATTAGCAGTATATGGCATGGTCCTATTTCCTTTTGTATGTGATATGGTGGATCAGGCCGCAATTGACGTTTTCGCCAAATTTAAAAGATTTAGAGTTAACCCAGTGCCAGCGGTGTTAGCAGAGACTCTCGTCTCATTCTAGAGATGTCACGAAAATGGCTGCTACAAAGTCCGATGTTGCATACAATTGCTCTATGTGTGGATGATCACTCGCTTCATACATCACCAGTACCCAGATTGGAGTCGGTACCCTTTGTGCAGATTCTGCACTATAGGAGTCAAACCTTTGTAGTTGTAAGACTGGGAGAAGCTTTTCAGGGAGGTAACCCCAAAAAACTTTGGTACGAAGTGTCGGTTATACGACCAGCATCTCGAAATCATGTACTCTTGTGGAGACTATGCAAACTTAATGTTGATGGGTCCTCGGGGTTGCATTACTTTTACCCCAGCTCTTGTACTTGGTCAACTCAAGTGGGGAATGATGCCCATATCTCCATAATTGCTACAAGGATCCATGATTTGGTATAAAGATGGCGAAGCCAGTAAGGAAGCCCTCGTCTCGATAAGAAATGCCTTGAGAAAAATTCGCCTCTATGGGAAGGAAGAGTTAGGAGAACACTAAGCTTACTATACTGACGAGTATAAAAAATGGAGGAACGATAGAATGAAATTGGCTGCATTACCAACTCCCACCCAACCTCCAGAACCACCTGGACCATCTGAGAATGAATTGTTGCAGGCTAGACAGATCCGTCTCCTAGAGGCTAAACTAGAGGAGGCCAGGAATGAGATTGAGAAATACAAGCTGACTGTCGAGAAACAAGACAAGACTATAGAGGCTCAGAAGAAAGAAGAGACCCTATTGAAGAGGGACTATGCTAGTATGTGTTCGACGTCCGAAAAGTATCATCTAATCCGGGTGGGGAAAGAGAAGGATGAAAAAATAGCTAAGCTGATCAGGATTAATGAGGAGAAAGATGAGCAAATATCTCACATGAGCCACCAATTGAAGGCTCGAGGTCGAGCCCTGCATACGGCACAACAAGATATTCATGTTTTAGAAGCAAAAGCAGAAAGTCTCCAAGTCCTTGTTCAGGACACCAAGGAGGAAGAGAGCCATGCATGGGCCACTATGAAAGAATATCAGACAACCCCTGAGAAAGCACTCAAAAGAGAAGATAAGTTGAAAGCCATAATGGAAGAAATGGAAAGGGCTCATCATCAGGCACGGGTCGAAGCAAACAAAGATAAACTTTATCTTTCAGAGCGGCTGAATCTCCTCGAAGCTACCTACGAAGAGTTAGTAGCCAAACAACAAGAATGGTCGCAGAATTGGGACAATATGCTCCAAGAGTGCAAATGGGACAAGGACAGGTGGGAAGACAGGTGCATAAAAATAATTGATGGTCTTGGGGACTTCGCAGATAATTGGTTGAGGACTTTCGAAGAGGCACGAGGGGAACTACAAATGCATCCAGAAACAGAACTACACCCAGCTATGAGAACGTTCTATGAAACATGTGAGGGGCTGGCTTGGAAACTGAGGAAATGGAGAGCTGCCGCATCTAGAGATTTTTGATATATCATGTAAAAAAAAAAAAAAAAAAAAAAAAAAAAAAAAAAAAAAAAGAAGAAGAAGAAGAAAAGAAATAAGAATAATAAGCATGAGTACGACCTTGATGTAATTCCTTATGAATATCAATAAAATTCTTTTTTTTTCTCTCAGTATCTCCAAGTTTTTATCTTCCTTGTATAAACTCATCATACCATAAAGTCTTGATAGAAAGGAAAACCCTTGCATTCAGATATAATCTTGGTCGAGAATCCAATGTTCCTTCTAAAGATCATTATGAAATATAAATGGTCTCGCGGACTA